TTGTTAGAATATATATATACATATATATTTACACACAATATTTTTACACACATATATATCTGCACATATATCTGTCTATATTATATAATATGTTAAATATATATATATTACATAATTATATCACACATTAATAATATACTAATATAACAATGTAACATACACATATTTTATATTTGCATATATCTTTACATCTATAATCTGGATATATGTTCTTATCAAAATAAAAAATATATACATTTATAAATATATATGAGAACCTATATCTTTACACATATATCTAAATACCTATATTCTGGATATTTTTTCTCATTAATAAATGTCCTTTGTCAAATACATATATTGATAAATTTCCTTCCTGCCTATATCATACTTTATTGTCTTTTAAAGAATTTATTCTTTTCTTTTTAATGATCCCAATAATTGTATAAAATAACCTTTCATCATAACATTTTCACACCCATTTTACATACTTCGATCATGTTCACCAACTCCATTCCCCTCTCTTATTCTTCCTTTCATTTTCTTTACAAGATCTGCTGGACAGAAACAGCATATCCTTGTGTGGTTACTTAGTAGCTGTTTGTCACTATCTGTTTCATTAGTTTCTTTATCTAAAAAATGAGATCAACATGCATTGTATATTTGCAACATGGCTGAAGTTCCTCAAAAGACTCCACATAGAGCTCCCCTATGACCCAGCAATACCACTTTTGGGCATTTACCCAAATGTTTACAAACAAGACCACACTAAAGCTACCAGCACAACGATGTTTATTGCAGCATTATTTACCATAGCTAAGATATGGAACCAACCCAGATGCCCCTCAGTAGATGAATGGATCAAGAAAATGTGGTATATATACACAATGGAATTCTATGCCTCCATCACAAAGAATGACATTGCCCCATTTGTTAGGAAATGGAAAGACTTGGAAAAAAAATTATATTAAGTGAAGTAAGCCAGGCCCAAAGAAACATAGGTCCCATGGTTTCCCTTATTTGCAATAACTAGTGTATGTCTGAGTCAAGCAGAAAAGGGCAGATAAGGTGATGTTAAGGAAAATGAACCCTAAGATATGTATTCAAATGTTTTTTTTTCTTTCATGCGATTGTTTCTAACGTATTTATAAGATGATTTCTTTGTTGTTTGTATGTCCCTCCCCCACAGTATAACCCCTGCTTTGACTGTATTTGATGTCGGTATAATTTGTGGAGGGAAAGGGGAAAAACAATGTCGAAAACGAACTTTGCAACTTTGGTGTGGGGGAGGAGGGTTGAGTGGGGAGTGGGGGAGGGAGGAGGGTTGGGTGGGTGGTGGAGGAGGATGGGATGGGAAGGGGAAACAAAGGAGGAGGCTACAATGCTTGATAAGAAATGTACTCATTATCTTGCCCATGTAATTGTAACCTCTCTGTACAGTATTTTCACAATAAAAAAATAAATAAAAACATAGCTGAAAAATTCAATACATAGCCTAAAATTAAGTAAAAGAAGGAAGAGTGTGTTGAGAGGGTTGAGAGAGAATGTTGAAAAGGGGTAACAATGATCAAGATGCACTGTATTCATACACTGTTTTGGTTAATGGCAACTCCTTTGTATAACTACTTAAAGATAATAAAAATATTTAAAATATCAAGATCCAATTATGCCCAAACTTAATTTTTTGTTTCTATCATCTATAGTCTTGAAGTGTCAAAGAAAATCTTTAGTCAAAAATCAAGAAAATGTGATATGTTTTGTAAGGATTTTCAATGCTATTTTATTACTTTGACAGCCTAATTACATATGTTACGGAAAACCCTATATCTCATGCCCCCTGTTTAGTAAATTTTTAATAGGATACTTTCTGTATCAAAAATTTTACTCATAAACACAGTCAGATTTAGTTCCCATTGCTTTTATAAAGCAAGTTAAGTTATTATTTATTGCTTAAAACATCTTTCTTACAGGTATCTTGGAAAGCTCTCACTCAATTTTCTATGTTCAGATTTTTTGAAATTATAGAATTTTAAAAATAATAAAGTTTCATTTTTTATGCCCTGCCAGATCTGTTATTATCAAACTTTCAAAGTATGTTGATGAAAGTAAAAGTTTATATTTTAAACAAATTAACTGATTTTGTTTTATCAATCTTCAAATTGCTGCTGCATAAACTCTGCGCTCAGTTTTGACTTAGACTATCATTCACCTTCTTTCTAGGGACTCCTGATTACTTGCTGTGAAAGAAAAAGTATAGTCACAGATCTTATTGATTTTGTATGTACTTGACTGTGAAGTATTTTCTTTTTAGTAATCTGAAAGACACAGTAAATGTAAACCAAGAACACCCATAAATAACTTCATGTTCTCTCTCTTTTATAGGTAATAACACTGATGTCCCTCTTAGATTAAGTAAAGTTTCTTAATGTTGATTTGAAATATTACCAAAGTAGATACTGGATGAGCAGAGTTTATAAATTGCATGTTACAGCTTGAACTTTTTGTTTATTTACCTCTGTTTCAGTTAATATATAACAGAAAATCATCCATTTAGGAGGATACCTTGTTTGCTTTTCTTCTTTATGTTGGTAATCTAGAATTAAGATTTGGGTTCACAGCAGCTGGACTTTATATACTCTCTATGCAAATATCTTGGAAATCCATACCCACTGTAACTTTTAACTGATGAAGAAATTCATGGTAAAGCTATGAAGCCAGATGGCCTGACCATGTGTCCATCCTATCTTTTACTTACTTTTCCCTGTTCCCTCTGTCTCTTTATTTTGCCTTTTTTCATTCTTTATCTGTATCTTATTTCTACCATAAGCATCACTTAAAATTCCATAGAGGATCTATTGTTCAAAAGATCTCAGGACCTCATAGCAAATGACTGTTGGCTATTTCTAAACTGTAACATTTTTATTTTCAAAACAATGCTTGCAGATCTTAATATGAATATCTTACATAGACTATGTATCAGTTATTGTTCCAAATATTTTACATCAGTCTACTCATTTAAGTTTTAAGTAATTCTTAGAAAACTATTTTTCCTATCATTTCCAATACCTTGATTTTATTTGATAACTTTTTTAAACAAAAGGCAAACATAATTTTTAATAAAAGGAAATAGGTGTTTCTGGGTTCCTAGAATTTTCAGATTTACATGTAACTAAGATATAATACATTTAATCCACAGCTATAAAAGCTCAACCAATTGAATACTAATTATTGATATAGGATAAAAGCTTCATTATACCATTTAATGAATAATGGCAGGAAACCATATAAAGATAAATTATATGAATGTTCAATAGAAGTATAGGAGAAATGAAAGGAAGTAAATGAGAAAGAATGAAACAAAGAAGGAAGAAAAGAAGAAAGGAAGAAAGAGCAAAAGACAAAGGAAAGCCAGGAGCTGGTGGCTCGCCTGTAATCCTAGCTACTCAGGAGGCTGAGATCTGAGGATCGCAGTTCAGAGACAGCCCAGGCAGAAAAGTCCATGAGACTCTTATCTCCAATAAACCACTAGAAAACCGGAAGTGGCGCTGTGGCTCAAAAGGTAGAGCACTCGCCTTGAGCTGAAGAGCGCAGGGACAGTGCCCAAGCCCAGAGTTCAAGCCCCACGACCCACCAAAAAAAAAAAAAAACGACAAAAGAAAAAGACTACTCAATAATCACAATTAACCTTGACATTAGAAGGTAAACTATATATATATATATATATATATATATATATATATATCATATAAAAGTTAAAATAGTACATTGTACCCTTTCCTAACTTATTTTAACTCATTTAACTACAAGATTTATAACTTACTGTACAAATGACTACTGTATGAGGTGTGTGTGAGTGTGTGTGTGTGTGTGTGTGTGTGTATGTTGGGGGGGGCGGGTATGTGGCAGTTCGGGGTCTGAACTAAGGGCCTTGCACTTTGAAGGCAAGCATTCTACCACTTGAGTTACTCTACCAGCCTTGATGTGTGGGTTGTTCTTTTGCAATAAGGTTATTCTTTATGCCCTTGCTTGCCTAGACTTTGATCTTCCTATTTACACTTTTCTACATAGCTGGGATGACAGGCACCTACTCCAGTGTACAGTGTACAAACAGTGTATAGTGTAAGACAGTGGCTGAAACTGAATCCCTATCTAGAATTTTCAGTCTTTGAGACTTTTCTCCTGCTGGACTTGAACCAAGATCTGCTGTTCATTACTTCTGATATAGTATTTTAGGCTTGAGGCCCCAAGCCTGGCTTATGAGAACTAATTTTAGAAATCATCAATTATTCTACATTCATAGAGCTTCTAATCTTCATGATTTACATATATTAATTTCTTCAGGAATAGATTTAGTCCTACAGAAAGGAATAAATGAGTCAATCCATTGGGTAAATAAAATGTTATTTTTTTTCTCTCATTACATGTTTTCTTTTTATAGTTCTAGGGATTAAATTCAGGGCCTTGTATTATACCTCCAGCATAACATTTCAAAATATTGCCAAAAACTTGAAATTTTTAGTATTCTGCAAATCTAAAGAAAGTCATACAAGGGCTGGGAAGGTGGCTCAGTGGTAGAGTGCTTGCCTTGCATGCATGAGGCCCTGGGTTTGATTCCTCAGCACCACATAAGCAAAAAGAAAAAAGCCGGAAGTGGCGCTATGGCTCAAGTGGTAGAGTGCTAGCCTTGAGCTGAAGAGCTGAGGGACAACGCCCAGGCCCAGAGTTCAGGCCCCACGACCGGACCCAAAAAAAAAAAAAAGTCATACAATTTATATTCTACCACCAGGGTCCAAAACTACCAGTAAATATTGTTATTTACTATTTTTGAATTGTCATTTCTTTACTACCAAGATGTAGGAGCTTTACTAGATTATGAACTGAGTACCAATTATGTAATTTCTCAGTTTAAATCAGCTGTCCTTTCTTACAGCTTTAAGATTATTGTGAATACCATTCCCAGGTAAAGAATGCATAGCTGATTGCTGAATTCTGCTAACCATAATGCCCGTCTCATTTTAAAGATTCAACAAACATGGAGTCTGAGCCAGAGGTCGTCCAATGCTTGAGACTGGTACTGACGGATGCTGTCAAAGACACTGTGCGTCTGATAATATCTGTGATGAACCCTGGGAGAAACTGTGAAACAAGCCTAAGCAAACCCAGAGTTCCCAGTTGCTTGCTTGAAAGCATTCCACAGGAATGGAATTATATTCCAAAAGAAACAAAAAGGAAAGAGCCAAACAAAGGTAAATTCATTTGTCTCTAAGGAAACAACCCCTAAGAAAAAAATTTTCTAGATTATTCAGGAATATTCTAGGATAATCAATAAAAATTATAAGATTGGTAATTTTTATTCTATCAAGTACATTTAGGATCCTTAATTTTTCTGTTTTACTTTGAGCCATATGAACAAGGAAACCAGAAATTACAATGACGGAAATATTAATCTTTTAAAACTATCAGTTCAGAGTCCTCTGTGATATTTTTTTCCAATATTCACATATTTGTTTCATGATTTTGACTAATTTCCTTTGACTGTAGTGAATAACATTTCTACCCTCAAAGTTGCTATTTGGCTTATTCTTTCCTGTAAGTTTTTCCCTTGCATGCACTAATTATTACTCTCTTTTAGCACACCTACTTGTGCAGCTTTCAGGTCCAAAATAGCACTCATTTTGGAACTACATGTATTTTTTTCTGACAGAACCTATGGTTCTAAATTTAATGCATTGATACTGTTCAGAACAGTGTCTCTCTACCAAGTTTATTTTAAAGCTATTAGCTGTTTACATTAGTCATTTATTCTACTGATAAAGACCTCCCTTTTAAAAAGATTTTCTCCTTCCTAGATGTTTCATTTTAATAGAATTTTAAGGAAATTTATTTGACTACATACTCTGTATTTGAAGTAAAACGATTTCTCTTTCACATTCCTCTTAACAAAGATGAATAAGGAAACTTTCAACAATAAAATACTCCAGCTGAACTCACAAAAGTCAATTGAAGGGACTAGCCTTTCTTTTCCATGGAGATCCTAAATAATGTGGCTTTTATCCAGCGACCTTATATTACAAACTCAAATCAATTATCTATCTGTGACCTTTCATAGTAATGCCTTAATTCTGTCCAAGCCTTATTAAACTGCCTTTGAAACTAGTAAAGCCATTTAATTGAAATTGTAAAATGTCACCTTCTCATTACTTAAGTTCTTTATGTAAGAGTTGTTGCCATCCCTCCTTCATTCTAGCTTTTGGATATTTCATTCATTTTGAGCGTCTCAGGAGGAATGGTCTATAGTGAGCACATCATGACACATGTGTAGCATTCTTTAGGTTGTGGCTTTCAAGAAATTCTACTCGTGAAGAGTTTTGCTTTCTAAAGAGCAGTTTGGAATTTCTCCATGTTCTTGCATACCGCCTCTGGTTTCAAAAATTACTTACCTTTTAGATGCCAGTTCTTAAGGTTCTTTTTACTTAATAGTGTTTTCTATAAAATTCTCACGAGGCGTAGAAACATATACAATATGTAGACAACTACAGATGGGTGTCAGGTCACATAAATGTATAAAAGAAATTAATGGATGAAAATGACTTTATGAACCTATTTGTGTATCCTAAATAGATACATTAATAAAGACTTCTATTGTTCTTCTTTTCCACCCTCTGAAATGCTAGATTTTAGATTGCCACTTTTCACCTTGATTTTCACTCTTCACCTATGGTTTTGTTTCCTGCAGTTTCAGTTACCATCAGTTGTTTGTACTCTTTCAAGAGAAAGAATAACAAAAATTAGTCCTTATATATGATTTTATTATAGTAGATTATTATAATACTTATGATTAATTTATCACTATGTTTAATTTATAAGTTAACTTCATTTTGTAGGTATCTACATATAAGAAAAAATATAGAGAATCCAGTACTATCTGTGGTTTCCTGCATCTACTATGGGCTTTGAACTCTCCTTTAAGATAAAGGAGAAACTGTTGTACAAGCCAGATAATATTTATATTGTGGCCACTAAAGCATTTATTCATTCAATAGATATTTGCTAATGAGTAACTGTTACATCCAAGCACTGTATTTAAGGTTAGACATAAACTAAATAAGCATACAGTGTCTTCATTTGGTGGTTGGAAACTATTTCAAAGTGAGTGGATATATTTCAAGGCAAGTGCAGTTCTTTGGTATGTGGTAAGAAAGGAAGGAGTTACATTTTTTTATATCTCACATGGAGATTATCACTGGAGCCTCCCTAAGTAGGTAAGTAAGATAGTTGTTCGTTGGGGATAGCCTGAGAGGAGGCTCAAGGTGCAGGAGAACCATAATGTTAGGCAAGAGGCAATAGGTACATGACCTTACAACTTCTTTAGCTTTCTGAATTTAGCAATGCATTGAAGCTGTCTTTTGTATTGTGTTGTAGAATCCAGTTTCAACAAAACAATCCTCCCAAAACATACTAGTAATAAATTAACAAACCATAATACTAGCAATTCAGTGAAGTGTATACAATGAGAATATGAAAATATTCACACTTATTTCTGTTGCTAGTTTGTACTTTTCCTCAGCCATAAGGTACAACAGTGATGATTTGATCAGATTTAGGCGGGAAAAGTATAAGAAAACTATTTGAAATATTGTTTCTGAGCATTATGCTTTGAGATACTAGCTAACAATAGTTTGAAGTTGTCCTGATTAGGAAAACATTTCACAAGTAGGTATCTCAAACATGAAGATAATCCTGTATAATTTTTTCTCACAATATTTTAAGTCAAGTTATACATAATCATGTTCTTTGTAAAAGATGCCTAAACAGTGATACATTGTAAAGTCTCCCTTTTTAAAACAAAACTAACTTATTGAAAGACAAATAACCAGAACCTAGGGAAACATTTGTCCTTGACATATTGAAAGTGGCAAAACATAGGAAATACTATGGTGACAAACTAAAATGAATTTATTTAGTTGTCAGCAAATACTACTCTATGAAAAACACTGAAGATTAAAAGAAATAAATATTACAATAAATTATACAGGGTAGGAGGTTTGCCATACAGTTGGGTAGAAATTCAGGTGTTTCATACAAAGGTTAGCCATTACTGTGCTCCATTACATTTCAAAGAGCAAATGCACAAGGAACTAGTTTTGTTTTGTTACTTTAACAGCAATTAAATGAAAGATATGCTTGAGATGGTATTCTCTCAATAGAAAATTATGCTTTAATGAAAAGAATGCTTTATATGAAAACTGTTTGGAAGAATTACATTAACAGAAACAATGAATCCTGGAGAGGGCAAAGAGAGATAGCAGCCCAAAGAAAATACACCTGTGAAAAATTGTGAAAAAGAGTAGGAACCAAAATACACAAAGTACTATAGGAAGTCATTAACAGAGCTTATTTTATAAAAGCTAATATAACCTGAAAAACTACTATCCAGACTTTGGTAAAGATTTCTCTAAGGTTTAAAAACAGTCTAAGTGCCTGGGTGATGGTGGCTCATGACTGTAATCCTAGCTTCTCAGGAGGCTGAAATCTGAGGATTGCAGTTCAAAGCCAGCTCAGAAAAGAAAGTCCATGAAACTCTTACCTCCAATAAACTACTCTGAAGAAGCCAAAAGTGGCACTGTGGCTCAAGTGGTAGAGAGCACTAGCCTTGAGCAAAAAGGGAGCTCAGGGAGAGTGCCCAGGCCCTGAGTTCAAGCTCCAGGATTGGCACACACACATACTCAAATAGTCCAAGTGAAATTTCAGCGATCCTTAAACATTTTCCTTAAAAATATAAAAATGAAATGTTAAATCAGTTTGTAAGAACAACTGTTATCATGGATGAATAGTAGATTTGTCTCGATAAGATTGAATATATATACATGCTACCGTTGTATAAGCACAATTAATAATATACTTGTTCTGTGTATAATAATACTCTGTTCTGTGTTTGTGTGGTGACTTTCTCCCCTGTGAGAGCTGTTACAATATGGTATTGAAACATGACCTGTATATGATAAAGTATGAAGACTAGATTTTAATCAACATAAAGCATAATACAGAAGCAGTACTGTGGCTCAAGTGGTAGAGTGGTCCCCTTGAGCCGAAGAGCACAGGGACAGTGCCCAGGCCCAGAGTTCAAGCCCATGTCCAACATTAAAAAAAAAAAAAAGAAGAATTGATAAGCATATTAAGTCACATTACCATCATTTAACATATTCTTGATATTTTCTTATGTTAACAAATAAAAAATTTAGAATTAATTTTAAAACTATTTTTATTTATTGTAAATTTTCTTTTTTCATGTTCTATAATCCATAGATGTTATGAAACTAATATACAATGAAGAAATGATAAAACTTGAGTAATTGGAATCCTTGGAGTTTATATATAAAATATCAGTAGCAGGCCAATTATAAAGAGTATTGGTAATCTTTACCTGCTATCTCTTTAGGTTGTGGCACGTTTGCTTATATCTATGCTTAGGCCCTCTTTAGGACACAGGGAAGATAAACTACAATATTTTAAATAAAATACCTGACAGTAAAGGAGAGTATATGAATCATAAACATATAAAGAACAAGACATTTAAAATAATTTTCAAATGCAAAGAAGTCAGAAGAGAGTTTTAAAGTTTGTTTTTTCAACTTTTTAAACTTCCTCTATAGCTATTCACGTGAATAAAAAGAAAAAGATATAGCCTTATACTCTTGAAACCTTACAAAGACATAAATAATAAGATTGTGATATTTAATCCTTTTTTTTTTTTTTTTTTTTTGGTCGTGGAGCTTGAACTCTGGGCCTGGGCACTGTCCCTCAACTCTTCGGCTCAAGGCGAGCACTCTACCACTTGAGCCACAGCACCACTTCCGGTTTTCTGGTGGTGTTCTGGTGGTTTATTGGAGATAAGAGTCTCACAGCCTTTCCTGCCCGGGCTGGCTTTGAACTGCGATCCTCAGATCTCAGCCTCCCGAGTAGCTAGGATTACAGGAGTGAGCCACCAGCGCCCAGCTTGATGTTTAATCTTGATTGGCAACTAGATTGGTTATAGAAGTGTCTAGAAGATTAGCGAAACACACTTATAGGTATGTTTGTTAGCAAATTTCCAAAGAAGATTACTTGGGGGGAAGATCCACCTGAAATGTGGGCAGCACCATCCCATAGAATAGAGGCCCAACCTGAATAAACGGAGCAGAGGAAGTTAGCTAGTGCTAACTCTCCAGGCTTCCTGGCTGCATTATGTGAGCTTCTGTGCTCTAGTATCCTCTCCCTGATGTGATGATCTGAAACCATAGCCAAAACAAAGTCTTCTTTCCTTAAAGTTGTCTATGTCAGACATTCTATCATAGCCATGGAAAGTCTAACACAATGATATATATATAACAAAGACACACAAAAGATTACCTAGCATGGTGCATTATGATTCTGATTACCAACATGGTCATGTAGATCATATTATTCAAACAAAGATAGTCAAATACATTTATTAGAGTTATCACAATTGAAGGGTATGTTACTGATGTTTAGTGGGTAGAAATCAGGGATACTGCTAATCATCCTTCAGTGTGCAGGACAGCTCCTCAAAACCAAGAACTACCCAGTCCAAATGAAAAACCCTAATATAAAGAAGGAAGATTGATACATCCTTTAGAGAAACAGACCAAGCAGAGAAAAACTACAGAATCATCAACCAAAGGGCCAAGGACTGCTAAACATGCATGTACATTTAAGAGGTATTAGGAAAATGTGGAACTAGTTTCAGACACAAAGACAAGTAATAGAGTTGAACAGAAACCAGATTATTGACTTATTTATTCAACAGATGTTCATTGAACAACTCCTCTATATGAGGTACTCAATGATGGTATTCCAGTACTGCTCTCCTAGAGGTGGTATTCTAGTGGAGGTTGACAGATAATGAGCAAAGAAAATTTTAATTAGGTGATGGTGAGGAAACCAAACAAGTTATATGATAGAAAAGGACTGAGGGCTGGGATGGGAAGAGCATGATGGGCAAGCAAAGTTCTCTGGGGAGATGTTTAGGTTATAAATGAAAAGAAGTTGATCCAGACCTGAGAAGAGCTGGGGTGATTGTGTCACAGATTCCAGAGAAAGAGGAGAAAGGTATAAAGGGGGTTCAGTGCTATTGAAAGTTATAAAGAGAGAGAGAGATTGAGCAGGGATGCCTTTGCATTAGTTAGTGAGGCATCTAGGTCCTTCAAAGCTGCAGTCTGAGATAAAACTACAAATTATAATTCTGAATTTTCTAATTGCCATTTGTGGAGAGGAGGAAAAAAAATACTAATCTTGGAATCTGGGGGAATTTAGAAAAGCCAGCAGGAAACCCCAATTGTGTTCTGTCAGAATATGTCAAGAACTTTTTCTTCTCAACAATTTTCTCCACAAAAATTAGACATCCCTGTACAGCACAAAACTATGCAGTGATGGAACTTAAATGCTAATATTAATCATACCTTTTCTGTCTTTTCTTCCACAGGCTTCACAAGGTTTGCTGCTCAGGCAATATCTATTGTAATCAGCAAGCTACCTACAGTGATTGCATGTTTGCCTCCCTCAATTAAATACTTCTTTTTTCTGTCTGAGAGAAAAATGTCAAAAAACTTTGTGGAATTGAAGAAAGTTGGCCTGCTTGTCTGGAACTTGGTTATAATTACATGTCGGATATTTGAAGATGGAAACACTGTGGAACTCTTAACAGGTGCCTCCCTTGACAGATGGAGTAAAGAGAAACTCAGTTTAATTTGTGCATGTTTGGAAAGCATCATTCAAGGGCACAGTAGCCCTAACCAAAAGATTCAGAAGGTCACACAGAGCATCGAGCAACAAAATCCCAACTGGATAGAACGCCAACTGTTGAAAGCAAGGAAACTTAGCACTGAATGGTAAAGTCATATTTTTTCTACCACTGAATTTCATCAGCTACTTTCACAGTAACAAAATCACCAATATACAACAGCACCAAACTATTGTCAGATGGGTGTCTGTGATCATTTGGCCTAAAATCATGGGAGCTTTGATGAATACAAAAAAAAAGATTAGTATCCCAACTAAACACTGGGGGTTTTAGACACTCCTTGTTTTCTTAAAATTCAAACCCTCTTGATATAATGGAACACTATACTTTATTTAGTCACCATATTAAGGTTTCTGATTAAAAGGGTGTTGTTAAACCCAAGGGAATTTAGTTTCACTTCTTTTCAGTGTGCAAACAAGTATCTAGTGGATAGCCTAGAGCATTTTGTAAATGGAGTGGGCATGGAGATTAAATTAAGAAGGAATTAATGGATATAAAAGGCTTTTTATTGCTTTCTGTGTACTCGATTGTCAAAAAGGTACACATTTTTCATCTGGTAATGTAAGAATCCCAGAGGGCAATTGGGGCATATCACACTGGAGCCATAAACACACCCAGCTGTTTCAGTATGAAAATGTCAGCCCTCTCATAGCTTTGTCATCAAGAGCTAAGTGATTTGTAGTACTGCAAAGATTTTTAAGGGTCCCTGGTGAATTTAAATATGTACATGGAGTTCTCCTGTCTTAAAGTTAGTTTTCAGATATAGAATTACATGATATTGATCAAGTAATTCCGGTTCAGGTGGTCTAACTCTGCCTATTTTATAAAAACCTTGCCCCAATGCCCTCCACTCTTCTAAATTATATTCCTGTCACTAGCATATTCTAGTATAACTTTCTGCCTGAAACAACTAAAAGTCATTTGAAAGATGGTTATAATTATTTGTAGATTATAGGTTGTAGAGTTAGATGGACAAGTATAAATCGCTTGTAGATGGGCATCTTGTTCAAGTTAGTGACTTTCTCAAAACCTCAATTTCATTGTGATACCCGAATGATGAAATTTTTTGAAAAATTGAGTGGCATAAAGTTGTTTGCATCAGGCTTAGAACTAGTAAGCAACTGTTATATACTAATATTCTTGTTTATGTTAGTATGTAAGACTATATTAATCTAAATAATGAAAGTAGGCTATCCTAATTGTCATGCGGACTTCTAGAAATTTACTTCTGAGAGGTTCCTTGGGTAGGAATACTAACAGCAACAGTCAGGGAAATGCTTAGTAGCATTGACAGTGACCTTCTTATTCTTTATATTTGCATTCAATACTAATATATAGGCTTTGATCAATGACTAAAAGATTAAGGTCGGATGTCATCATATGTGGCAGTGGTTATTAAAAGAGAGGAAGAAATAAATGGAAAAATAGTTGTCTGATTAGTTATAAAGTTGATTATATCTACTGCTGACTTAGGAATATATATATATATATCAAATAAAATTTATTTAAGGCAATAGCTAAATAATATGCTTAGACCTATATACAGTAATTAGTAGGCTAGTTAGTTTTTTCCTAAAAAGGTGTTTTTAATTTAACACATATTATCTCTTATAGTATTGTCAACATAATGTTTAACTGGTTAGTTAATATTCAAAAGTGGTACTTAGCTATCACTTACAATATGTACTAAAATGTGGAATTGTTAATTTTTTTTAAATGTGCTATAGCATTCCAAGATTCTGAATAAGTATCACAATACTATGTCTTTTGTAATTTCATAACTTATAGTAATACACAAAGTTGCAAAAAAAGTTATTTATATGTGTGTAAAAATTTCAACTTGATTTTAACTTACTTTAGGTAACATTCTCATAGGCTTTGGGTGCTATAGAAATGTTTATTCTTGTCCTTGATTTCAAATTGATTACCTGATATAGATATAAACTTCTACAGCTAAGTCTTTCTCATAAATTGATAATAATTTAGTTCGTACTTCTACACTATGAGGAAAAATGTATTTCAAATTATGATGTCTATGTTAGATAGAAGGTTGCCTTGGCTTTATCCTCGTTTTTTTTTTTTTTTTAAATAACACCAGCACAGAAATTAAATTGTTTCTTCTGGTAAGATAAATGAAGCCTTAATTCCTCATGAAGATTATCTTGGAACCAATATCATTTAGCTAGCTTTATTTTACTAGAATTCTGATTTAGCTTTGATTTTATGGAAATGGTGAAAATAACTAGTTAAAAAGGTGGCAGCTATAAGCCTTGCCTGTCTTGCATACTGCCTGAAATCATTACTATTCATTAAAATAACCTTCACTTTGTACTAACTCTCAAGCTGTAAACAGTCAACTTAGATTTTTGAGAACACACAGCCCCAAAAGTAAAGAAATGTCTGTCTTTGCAAAGTAATTTGTCGAGTTGAAGATTATTGTTTTTCATCATGGTGACCCTGACTTGGCTGGCTGGGTGCATATACAGATTAAGATTAATGCAGTTATTCCTTGGCTAAGGTCTGCGTCTTTCAGGGCACATTCTCCCTAATGACATGATTGATAGGCAGTCCCAAATCCAGAGAGGAACTCATTAATCATAGCATTGACTGAATCCAATCATTTGCTTCACCTGCACAGTGATGGGCAGGAAAGGATACAATTCAGGAACGGGCATGAAGGTACTCCTTTGTCAGAGGGCCCCAACTTTTTCAATGTCAGCCTCTACAAAACCTTAACAAGAAATTTTGCTTGCATCTTGTATGTAGCTTACAGAAGATATGCAAAAATTCCCATTACTGTAACACATGTCTTTTGTTTAAAAAATAGTTTGCTCTAAGTAAATCAGAATTGGCTTTATTTTTTTCTTTTAGCAAGGCTTATATGATCTTAAAGTTACCATTTTTTTCGAAAAGGATTTCTGAAGCTACATGTGGAAGCAATATCATAGTTAATGTCCAGCAGCTGGGTATCATTTGGTTCAGTCTTCAGGTCAGCAACACTGACTCTTAGCAGAACTAATTTTATAATCATGGCAAAATCTCAGTAATGAGCTGCAGTATACAGCTGATTACACCATGAAAAATTTCATTTAGTCTGGGAAATAGTGAAAAACTAGGAATATTCCTAAAGTACTTACATTGAGGACCCTTATATGATCTAAATAGCAATTACATGAAGGAAATTAGTGTGGCATACATATATGATGTTTGATACATTGTTTTACACAGCTATAGACTGAGATGTTTAAAATGTATATGTCATCCATTATTAGCATGGGAACAATGTTCAAAACAAGAATAAGTAAGTAGATGATCATTCAGGAAGAAATGTTTCAGAGATGGAATTGTTGCTCAGGAGTAGAGCACTTGTGTAAAATGGACAAGGTCCTGGGTTTGATTCCAGTACTGCAACAAACAACTCAATGTTTCAGAACTGTATTTTCAATGTTTTGGTAGGGTAAAAATAGACCCTTGTACTGAAAGAATGACCTGACTTTTCTTAACTGTCTGTTATAGGAAAGAAGCAGGAGAGAGAGCATATAGTTTTAAAAAGCAACAAGTGTCAAAGGCCAATTAAAAATATCCAATGATAAGCACAATGCTTAGAAAGACCCAATTTATATTTAGCTTACCAGGCTCTCCCTCTGACACTTTAATTAGTTTTTAATGTGTTCTATGACAGGTGTAAAGAGAAATCTACAGAAGACAGAAAACCAAAGCTATTTCTGGCATCAAAGATACTTTTTAATTCTCCTAGAAAAAATACCAATTATTTCTTACCTATTCTTAAAAAGAAAAAGAAATGTTTTGTTTTTATCCCATGATTATAGCAATTTCAGCAATTGTAGTGATGTGGAAGTGTTTTGTAGAAAGGAGTGTAAATGTAATAAAGAAATGGTTTAAAAGAAATGATTCAATTTTAATAAAATGCTTTCAGAAACTTCATTCTTCCACCATTTGTATAGCAGCAGTGATTTGGGAAGACTTACCTACTTGAGTGAAATTTTCATGGGTACTCTGAGTATGAAATTTACATCTCTCTCCACACTCAATCTCTGGTTATTTTCCAGCTCCAGTTCTTTTATCACAGATACATATTTGCTTCCTTTGTATTTAGTGCACTTATGACAATGGAGAAAAGCACAGTTTTAGAAGAAGGAGATGCTCCTCTTGAACTGACTGAGCAGAAAATAAACACGATGGTCCTGGATCTCTGCCACAAACCAGGTGGCAGCGAATACCTGAGGCAAATTTATCACATCATGCGGCTCAATGAGGTAGGGAAACGGCCTTTTTACCGAGCAATTAGGTGTGTACTGGCCTGAGGCAGCGTCTGCTGGCAGCTAAGGGTTAGTCAAGGAGGTGATAATACTTCTTAAAGTCAATACCAAACTCAATATTGCATTATTAATAGAATCTATTCAGCCCCGGCTGTTCTGCATTTGTATAGAAATAGCACCACGGAAACAGTGTAAGTTTTATTTATATGATTTAAACAATAACACGGCTCATAAATTCAGTTCAGTTCTGCATTGTAGAGACTAAAGGTGTAGTTTGGGAATTGTGTGTTTGTGGCTGTTAAGTTGATACTAAAATCTAGCATTATGGAAATGAAACATTTTTTGAGGGGAGACAGTTATTTTCCTGAAAGCATCATGCATATATGTTGGTAAAATTAGCAGTTTTTAAAAAATGTAATGGAAAAAGAAAACCTTCAGAAAAATATTCAACCATATTTGGGGCCAATCAGATGAGCCCAACAAAATTCATTTTAATACACTGGTTGGGAAAAAAATGTTATACTTGTCCATATCTTTGCGCTGTTAAATCTCTGACCCCACATATTTTGGACTATTCAGAAAAATGTAAATAGAGGCGTTGGAAGCTATTCATTTGAACCAATGTAAGTTTGCTAACTCAGTTTTTATTTTGATTTGTGTCTAAATTAGAATGTGGCATCTTCAATTATGTTCATATTCATAAATGCATGAAAATATTTTTTGAAAAGTAAAGATTGCGTAATATGAATAAGGTTAACATATAGAATTTTATTTTTATAATACATAGGCCTTAAAAACCATAAGGGCTGGGAAGGTGGGTCAGTGGTAGAGTCCTTGCCTTGCATGCATGAGTCCCTGGGTTCGATTCCTCAGTGCCACATAAGCAGAAAAAGTCAGAAGTAGTGCTGTGGCTCAAGTGGTAGAGCACTAGCCTTGAGCTGAAGAACTGAGGGAGAGCACCCAGGCCCAGAGTTCAGGCCCCCTGACTGGCGAAATACAAAAACAAAAACATATGTAACTAAGGAATTAACTTCTATAACATTTTACAAATCAGTCCTCTAAAAGTTCTTTCAGCCAGTATCTGTCTGAGAATTACTTTGTCATTCTTATTTCCTGGATTTCATAGAGTTAATCAACCAGTCAATAAACAGGTGGCATGACAATACATTCAATGTTGTCCCAATACAGGAAATTTGGTGCTGTCAGAAATGACCCTGTTCCTAAGACACCAAAAATCAGTAGAAATTGCAGCAAAGTAATACAGCCTACTTCCTCTCGTCAATGACTTGCCATAGCCTGCTTTGTGTTTGTATTTGGGGAACTCTGGAACTCCTGGCCTTGGCTAAATGAAATATTGTTTCAAAGCCAGGCTCCTCAGTAGTAGGTCTACTTGGTTTCCCAAAGTGGCCAAAGTAATTGCAGTTACTACTGAGAAAAAAAGGTTGCAGAATGATTGCACTGGTAACCTTCGTAAAGTGGCATTGCAACAGTTCAGAGGATACTAATAACTGGTATAGATTGCAAAATGGATAGAAAACTCAGAAATGACCAGTAAACAAAAGCACCTGATACATTCTTCCTGCATTAATCTTGTGTAGCTTTGAACAAGTATGCAATAAGGTCTTCATTGAGGTACCAGTAAATTTTGACCAAAGAAAATCAAAATTCTGATTTTTCTTTTGTTACATGTGAATAAATTTGCCACCATGGCACTATCTAGCTTAAGGTTGTTGAGCTAAGTATTTACAGTTGTACTATACTGGGTGAGGCGTGTGCATTAAAGTAAAAGGTGTAATGTTAGCTAAACCCAAAGGCATAGCAGGTAGGAGATATGTACCTTCTGGATATTACAAAAGCATAGGCCCCAAACTCAAATAACAGAAGTTGACGAACTGACTTGCATAGTATTTGTTATTGCTTTCAACATTGGGCTCATAGTGCTGTAGGTGAAATTGAATTAGTGGTGCTTTACATACACCACTAGATGTTACTAGAAAATGTAGATGTAGAAAAGCCTTTGTGGATATATACCTACAGAGAAGTTATGCAGGGAAATTAAGTTAGAGATTTATTTTTTAAGTGAAAAGTAACATGTCTGAGCAAGAACTTAAAATTGTAGCTGAGGTTCTGGGCATGAGCACTGACAAGAGAGGTAATGGTTGTAGGTTTGATGGTCTTCAGTAAATGTGGTAGTTGAGTTCATCTGAAAGGAAAAACACTTAAGTGGTGCTTAAGTGGTGAGAAGAGAAAATGTGAAAGGTAGAGAAAGAAGCTTTGATGTATATATTTTGTTAATTTATTATTGATGTTGAATAAATTTATAATTGGTAATTTGATTATAGGTAAAATGAATATTTTAAATATTGCTACAAGAAATGATTGGTTCTTTTACCATAAAAATGTACATGTCTGTGTACTCTTCAAGTTTCAGCTTTAGTTTTCTACTCTGGAAGAATATGTAGTTTAAAAATGTCAACTGAAACTTAATTTTCTTGGTTTCTTTAAAAAAAATTTTTTGTTTTTGTTGGTCATGGGGCTTGAACTCTGGGCCTGGGCACTGTCCCTCAGCTCTTCAGCTCAAGGCTAGCGCACTACCACTTGAGCCACAGTTCCACTTCCGGTTTTCTGGTGTTTTATTGGAGATAAGTGTCTCATGGACTTTCCTGCCCAAGCTGGCTTTGAACTGTGATCCTCATATCTCAGCCTCCTGGTTAGCTAGGATTACAGGCACCAGACTAAAATATTTTTTAAAATATATTTTTATTATCTTGAAGTAGTTATAGATAAGACATTGACAGGATAATTATTACCTAGTGACAAATTGTTGAATATTAAATCATGACAAACAAAGCTTTTGGTTAGATCTGGTTACCTAAATTTAGGTATAAAATTCTTTTTGGATGGCTTCATCATATCAGATAGTATTTAGGAGATGCCTATGTGTATTCTACACTACAGAATTTATCTTTCTTTTTTCTTTTTCCTATTTTCAAGGTGATATACAGAGGGGTTACAGTTACATAAGTAAGGTAATAAGTACATTTCTTGTCAAACCTGTTACCCCTTCCCTCATTTTTCTCCTACAGAATTTATCTTTCTAAAGAGATATTCTCCACAATGAATAAGTTTAAGATATAGCTAACATTGCTACGTTTACCAATGGTTTCACTAGACTTTTAGGGCTATTAACTTCTGAAATTTGCCTTCCACAAATGATACAGTGAACATTTCTAAAACTATAGAAGAACAAGGGGAAACACACACACACACACACACACACACACACACACACACAGTGAACTGAGACTAGACATGTGACCCTAGCCTCAGTAATTATCCCTCACAGGTCTCTGGCCTCAGGCTTGACTTTTGCTCTTTCAGAGCCAAGAATTGAGTGTGATACTGAGCTAGATTTTCTCAGTTTTTCATATTCTTCCTCATCTCTTGGGAATTCCTGTTACCAGACAGAGTCTGATTTGGTAGGGAATACAATTTTGTTTTCTAACAAGCTCCCAAGTGAGGCTGACTCTGCTGATCTATGTACCAGATTCTCAGTAGTAAGAGTTTACAGATGATCCCTGAATTTCTTTTAGCTCCAACATTCTGAACCTTATTCTAAAGGAAAAAATCCATTGTTACATATAATCTTTATTTTTATTCATTAAATAAGCATTTGTTAGTTGATGGTAGACTTCTTAGTCATTTTAATTTGTTGTCTTACAAAAATAGTCCTACAAACTACATTCACATTATTCACCACATGTATTTAGAGGAGGGAAATGAGGTATAATGCAATAAGTTTACCTAGAACTGCATTGGAACTTGGAATATTTGAGTGATGTATTTTGAGCTTTTATTGAACCTTGATAGCTTTCAGTCCAGAGCAAGGAAATGGTGGTTGCATTATGAATAATTCTGCATAGAATAACATTACTTGGAATAAAATATCAACATACATAGTGATGTGCTAAGCCTGGAGGAGGGAGCAAGTACACATGATCACATGGTGAAAGGAGAAGCAATCCTTGTCAGGCTCTGGGATCAAGTTTTGGTAACCAGCATGGCAAAACTCACGAACCAATGATAAGACAATGCCTAGGGAGAAGATGCTGAAATATCCAGCATTCACTCAAGTATAAAAGAGTTTATTAATTTTTTAAAATCTGTACCCTACATTAAATAAACCTACTTTTGGTAAGTTTATTGCAATACTGATTGATACTCTACTATGTTTCTTCCTAGGCAAGTCAGACACTATAATCTCACAAATTGAGGGTCAAATGTGGGTTTGGATCAGTTAAAAAAAAGAGTGTATTCTTTTTAACATCCTGACTTGTACTTTCTTTTTCCCCCCATGAAGGAATATTTAAAAGAACAGCTGTTTTCTATGAAGGGTTCAGAGGAAAAGCCATTGCCCATCCAGCCTTTAAAGATGCCCTTAAGGAATGTGGAAGATGCGCCTTCTGCCTTTAACCCTTTCCATGTGAATAAGGTGTTCAGTGAACACATGGTAGATCAAGTATGTGTCCATTAAGTGGAAAATTTAATTTAAATGTATGTTTTTTTCTGCATGGGCAAAACAATGCTTTGTCTGTGAATATTTGCTCATAAATTGTATTTGTTAGGAAGCATTAGGTCATGTGCTTATTTATATGACCAGCCCAGATTAACTTTTGAAAGTTATTTTGCTTCTTTTTTTTTCTCCTTTAAAATGACTTATTATTTCAGAGTATCATAGTATATAATGCACTTAAAAACTAGTAATTTTTTCTTTTTTATGAAAGTAATTGTACAAATGGGTTTAGGGTGATATTTCCATACATGTACATAACGAACCCTTTGGTTAAATTCACTTGCTCTATATTTTACCTTCTATTTGTGAAACTGATTTATAGATCTAGAAAACTTAACTTCTGACTTGGTCAGTTGGCCGTGGGCAAGGGAATATTTGCTAGGCTGTAGCTAGAGAAAGCCTGAAGAAGCAGACATTTTATATAATGTCCTTCTCTATTTGGTATCCTAAATTTCCCACTGCCAATATACACAGTCACTACAGACATTGAATCGCCCAAAAATGTATCAGATAAATGTATATATTCCTTACATTTAAAGTGAATATTCTCATCACCATAGAGCCAAGATATTTAGAATACACTAACTTTGATGAACACAGTGAGTCTTTAAATGACAAATTATGAAATTGTTTAAGCTCTATGTTTCACTAGTTTCAATAAAAAGATCACTCCTCCACCAAAGTGTTTGAAATATGAAGTTGCTTTAGCTTTATTTATCTCTGGCTGGCTTTTTCCCAGAAACTTCTTGACAGAGAATTTGAAATAACAGGGGAAAAGAGAAGGATTGCTTGACCTAGAGCTCTGATGAAAATGAGAATTAAAACAATGGCCTAATTCAGCATGCAGATAATATTTTTACCATGCCTGTTACAGCTCGTGCCTGCATTCATCAATACTGTGGTAGAATAAGACCTTCAAAGGCTGACAACCTGGGGCAGAATTCTCCTGCTCTATGACAGCATTGTAGTGCTCAATTAATCAGCAGGTGACAAGGGATAGCTCTTGTTGGATTTTAAGCATCAGACTGGACTCTTATTATCCAAACTATTTAGTTTTAAGGAACAGAAACATCAATAATACTTTAAAACAAAATATGTTATACACTTAGAGTTGATTGCCTGCCTTCCTACATTGTACATTACTTTTCTCCAAACCATAAATAATTATTGTAGCTGTTAAATTATCCTTACTTCATTTAAATAAATGGCATGTTTTGTTCAGTTCTGAATTACGAGATTATTTTTCACAGTAATTTTTCCCTTTACTTCTCTGTGAAATTATCTATTAATGAGAAAAAATCATTTATGTTATTTATATTTGATGGTATTTATGATGTTCCTTTTAAAGCATTTCCTTAACCAAAAGGTAATATTGATATTGTACTCTCACTAGGCTGTTTCTTGTATTTTCAATCTTAGCACTTCTTAGCTTTTTAAATAGAAAATTTAGGTGTTAACAAAGAATCTACAAAGTGATATGATACATGAAAAACTTGCCAATTATTTTTCTTTGTTTCTCAAAAAAGCACTCTCCCAAAGAAACTTGTTGAGTAAATGCCATTAACACTCAGAAGAATAATGACTCAAGAAACTGATTTATATTTTTATAAATAATGACTACATCCCAAATGGATTTATAAATTAATTGCTGTCTTATTGGAATAAAAACCTTTTTCTATGGACATGATTGATGTTATCTGTCTAAGTCCTTGTTCTAGACCCCCCTCCTTCTTAGTTAGTCTATCACAGCTGGAGCTTTAATTTACTGATCATATTAACTCTGATTAATAACTAACAATAGTGTCTTCTCATTTATCAACAGTCAGCCATCACAAAATGGAGCTGGAATTGGTCAAACTTACTGCCAAATTATCTGGGACTGGATAAGATGACCTTCAGTGTACTGCTCAAAAACAGGTAATAAGATTGTTGATATAGAGTGGTGGTAATGTGTGGTGTGGATATATGTGTGTTTGTGTGTATGTGTGTGTGTGTGAGTATTTGAGTGTATGTCATATTTTTGGAAAGTGAAACATTGTATAAGTAGGGGAATCTCTTTTGTTTTCTTCCTCTTTAGTCTTTCACCTTTAAAAGAAAGTATGACAAAAAGTATATAACTAAAACTTCTAAATTCTGTTATCCATAACAAGCATGTGCAAATTTTGGTTTCAGAATGAAGTTAAGTTTAGTATTAATTTGAAGCAGCTTTGATTTTGTGAATTTAATAGTTCACTATTATTAACATTAAAAGTTATTGATTTGAACATCTTTATCATACTTGGTCTTTGCCTCTAACAACTTAATGAGTACTCACAAGATGCCAGACAAAATCAACTCACCTCATCAGGGAAACATATAAGGAAAACTGCCATGAATGATTTTTTTTACCTTTTAGTCAGTTATTTTAGCATTTTGCTATAGCTTCAGTTGCATATTATTTTGTACACATGCAAACTAACTGGTATCATCCCATAAACTAGTAATATGAATATAGATCTAGATCTTATACTTAAAATATATATAAACTTCTTTATATTTTGCATCAATTGTTTAAAATACCTTAAAAGCTTTTAGTGAAAACTCTAAGACATAAACCTTCAAAACTGAATTTTACATTTTCAATCATTACATTTTCAAATCACACACACACATTTGTATAAAGCTGGTTTTATTTTCACACATCATCTCTTTACTTGTAGCTGAAAATTATTTTCTGTTCAGTCTTTGTAATATATTTCCATATCTTTTTGCAAAAATGTTGACTACCATTTTTCCTGAAAGAGAAAATAATGACAATGACGTAGTAAAATTATCAAATCATCCTGGCAAAACCTGTGTACATGTAAGAAAACATCATAAAAGAGGAGCAATAGAAGTACTTTACAAATGGAGTATTTACAGAACAATTGTTAGCTTGCCAATGAAAATTGTGGCTTAGATATGTGGTCATAATGGTTTTCTTAATCTGAATTAACATCATCCACCCACTATGGGCCAACTTGAACAATGCAGAACTTCCACAAGAAAGGCAGAGATGCCCCAACTATAGACTTCTACCTGGCAGTGCTCTAGAGAGCACCAAATCCATGTACCATGCACTTCAGTGGTGCTCAGGCTGTGCCCCAGAGTTGTTTGGAGAAGTAAGACTTGGAGTTGATGAAGGAGAGAACTCTGCTGAAACTCTAGTTTCATGATATATACAAAACATTATAGGCCTGTCTGGAAATAAAGAGTAGATGATACGTTTTTCCCCTGCTATTTGAAATGTTTGAAGTTCATTTAGAAGTGTATTATAGTCTACTATTTTTTTCTTCAGCTGTGAATCATTGCTTCTAATACAGTAAATGATAGTCTAAAGGCAAGACATCCTTCAAAACTTAAAGCATTTGCAATTATGTAAGAATCCACTTCTAAGGGAATTTGTGTTTTAACCAGAATTATATATTGTTATTTTCATTTAATAATTAATAATAGATATATTTTAATTAGATAGTAATCATTAAAATCTCTATCCCTGAAATATATATAGGAGGGAGTGAAAGAGCTCCCATGACGGTAGCCAGCAGTATCAGGTCAAAATGGTTCTCCTGGAAAAGGGTCATGAATTTTTAATAAAAGCAGCTAGAATCTCATCTTAATAAGTGCCTTAGATTTTTCAAGAATGGTATGAAAAGTATTCTGCCACCAACTACCACTTACCACAAGCCACAATGAACCTAATTGATCTCCTTTAGAAAGAGGAAGACACCTGAGAGGATTTAATCTCTTCTCTCACTTGCCCATTTTTTTTCCAGAATCTTACTCATGAGTTTGGATTGCTATTGAACCAGTAAGGAAATTCTATTCTCATTCTCTTTTCCTTTTTTTTGGAATTTCCTGAAAATATTTTTTAAATGGATCTTTAAATTTTGGGCCAATATAGTAATCTGAAAATCAAACCCCAAGAACACTGAACTTTTACAATGAGAGTTAAATATGCCATTCAGCATCTAGTAGATGTAGCATTTATCCATGATCTTTGGTGTTAAGCCAAGCTGCAAGAGAAGTCTAGAGCAGCTCAGCTAAATAAATGTCCTTACTTCTTTCTCTTCATTTCACTAAAAAATAGCAACATCTTCTTTTTTACCTTCTTCCTTAATAGTATACATGTATTAATCTATCTCCACATTATGGCTATGTATATGAATGAACTTGTGAGTTTTGTCTCATATCATAATGTTGCAAAAAGAAATGTACTCAAATACATAACAATGAATAAGTTTGAGAAAAGTAAGCCCATTGGATTTACCTTTTATATTCCACTGTGCCTATATATAATAAGCAGACCACTGTGAATTTAACTATTTTGAGATACTAGGAGTGAACCAGGCCTCCTTCAACACACACACACAAAATGGAGATGGGAAAGGTTCCGTGGGTTTTCAGGAACTTATATTTGACTATAGATTTCCTTAAAAAAAATAAGAATAACTTTATAGCTACTTCAGGTCAATCGTTGAGACAACCAAGAGTGTTAAAGCTTAAAGGAGTATTTTGAAAAGTTGAAAGCATAAAACATTTTTTAAAAATAGTAACATCAGTGTTTGTTCTGGTCAAGTAAGGAAATAGTAAAGCTCATTAAGGATTTGTTGTGAAATCAAGCCCTCAGACCACCAAGCTTATGGAAATTCAAGATCTAAATTAATAATGAGGGTTAGAACAAGAATCGGGCCAGGCCAGACCAGGAAGTGGGCCCATAGGTCTGGAAAGCCAAGTGAGAAAATGAGCAAAAAAAGGAAAACAGTTTAAAAGGCCAAGAGTCCATCCAAAGATAAAGGCTAAAGAAGTGAATAGTTCAATCCATGAAACAGTAAATATGGGGAGACCAGCAATATTTCTATCTGAGACAATGCTGACCTTTGTTTCCCAGGCTGGTCCTGTGCTGATTCCAAAAGCAGAACAAACCTTTATGTAGCTGCCTGAGTCTGGGCAGAAATATGTTCTTTATTCATTGTATGGCCTCTTCTATAAAATATTTTCCTTCAATTCATGATGCGCTAAGTAGGTTGCCCTTCTCCATGTTCTTTGGGTTCTTTAATTCTTTCCCATTTTTATGGTCTTAGAACTTGTCATTTACTTAGCAATTCACATCATCTTCACCATCTACATCAGGGGCTAAAAAAAAAGTGATATTTTCTTCTTATCTAAAATGATTCTCCTAGTCACTCTATTTTATACTCTACTTTGAGCTCTACTGAGTTAAGAAACTCAGTTCTTAATAAGCTCAAGAAATCATAGATTATATGAGGTTGCTACATAGATATCTGTAATACTGCAGTTAACTCAGGGGTATGGCTTAAGGACTACAGTGCTTCCTTAATAAGCATAAAACCTCCAGTTCAAACTCAAATTTTATCAAAGAAAAAAGTATCCAACCTAGCCTATGTAAATTAATTAAGTGATTGTTTTTGTCCTGTTTCTGGGGATTGAACTCATGGCCTGGACACTGTCTCTGAGCTTTATTGCTCAAGTTTGGCACTCTACCACTTGAACCACAGCTCTACTTCTGTCTGCTTGGTGGTTGATTGGAGAAAAGAGTCTTACAGACTTTCCTGCCTGGTATGGCTTCAAACAGTAATCCTCAGATCTCAGCCTACTGAGTAGTTAGGATCACAGTCATGAGCTGCTGACATCCCACTTGATTTTGAGCCATTAGAAGACACATATAGTGGCCGAGACTTTAGTAAGAGACTCTGAATACATATTAATGATATATGTGTTTCAATTTAGAATGTTTGCCATTGTAGGAAATAAAAACTCCTTAGAGGTTCAGAAAATCAACATATATATCAGCTCTACAGTTTTACCTTTAATGCTCTATAAGAATAAATACAGAGATTGTACATTGATCTTTTGGAGTAATAAAAGTACTTTTCATAGTTTCTGGTTGTTCGTTCTTAGCCTTCATTCTCACTCACTTCAAAATAAATTGAGACTAGCAAATGAGATGGTGATTGCATTTTCAGGAGAGGAACCAAAGAAACCTTCTATTCCTTCATTCATGGCGGATCTCCAGATTGCCATTTTGATATTGTTTTCCTTGTCACTGAAACAAATTTATGGTGCTTCTTTTTTTCTTTATTTATTCCAGATTAATTCCCAAGAATTTTGGTATTGAAAATAATCTGTGAATACAGTGTAATGCTATGCTATTTTAACCATCTAAATATACTGCATATGAGTTTGGCTTCAAGTTGAGCAAACACAATTAAATATGATGGCAGGAACAGCAGAAGGGGTGGTGGTGGCAGATTTCTGGCTATCACATTGGGACTTTTCCAGGTGGACAATAACCATGCATCTGAGAGGAAACAGAGATTAGAAAACACGTTGGAAAAGAGCCATTGATCTGTGGAGTTGATTGTTTGCTTTTAATAATAATTATTATTCAAGTGCCTTTCCCCTATATCAGATGATAATGTAACCCTGTGGTGTGCAGAAAGTAGAAAATATTGTCTCTGGCCTCAAACTGCACTCACTGTACTCTCCAGTGACCATTCTCAGCCTGTGTTTCCATTAGCACAATGTTTATGGTTGCTTGTAGCTGTAAATTCCTGGAGCAGCAGCAGGCTTCCTGGTGATGGAAGGGTGGGTTTAAGCAAAAGGGGAGGCTTGATTTTATGAGTGCACACCTCACAGCCATTACATGCATTACATATGTCATCACATTCAAATTTGGTTGTTTTTTATTTTATTTCATGCTCCACTTCCCTAAAGAAACATTTCCACTTCCACTCAAAGGCTGAGAGTAAGTGATTCCCTACCAGTACAGAATGCATGCCCATCCCTAAGTCCTACAGCAACATGGCTTTGCCTAGAGATAGCTAGATGTGTAGTAGTTAGAATACATAAATTTAGCCTCAGACCTCTTAGAGCTA